TCACTTCACACCTGTCAGAATGGCTACCATCAACAAATCAATAAACGAGTTGCGCTGGCAAGGATGTGGAGAAAGGAAAACCCTAGTACACTGCTAGTGGGAATGTAGACTGGTGCAACCAGTATGGAAAACAGTATGGAGGTTCCTCAAAGATTTAAACATGGAGCCCAGCTGGGCATGGCTCTGCGGTTGAGCGTCAACCTAGGATCCAGGTGATCGGGGTTCGATTTCCAGGCAGGGCACATGCCCGGGTTACGGGCTCGATCAATGTCTCTATCATCATTGATGTTTCTATCTCTCTCTCCCTCTCCTTTCCTCTCTCTGAAATCAATAAAGATATATATATAAAAAAATTAAACATGGAGCTTCCTTTTGACACCGCAATCCCACTTTTAGGAATATGTCCTAAGAATCCTGAAACACTAATCAGAAAGAAAATATGCACCCCTATGTTCTTAGCACTGCAATTTACAATAGCTAAGACCTGGAAACAGCCCAAGTGCCCATCAGTAGATGAGTGGATAAAAAAGCTGTGGGACATATACACCATGGAATACTACGCAGGTATAAAGAAGAAGGATCTCATATCATTTTGGATAGTATGAATGGACCTGGAGAAAATTATGCTAAGTGAAATAAACCAGACAAAAAAAGAGAAATATCACATGATCTCGCTTATGTGTGGAATCTAAGGAGCTTAATAAACTGATGAACAGAATAGATTCAATGACATGGAGGCATAGATCAGACTGACAAATGTCCGAAGGATGGAGGAGAGTGGGTAGGTGGAGGGTGAGAGATTAACCAAAGAATTTATATGCATATGTGCACAACCCAACGACAGGGGCAATGGTGGGGAGCGGGACTGGGGAGAGGGATGAGACGAGGTGGAATGAGTCATTGTGGAGAAAAAGGCACATTTGTAGTATTTTAAACAAAAATAAAAAAAATTAAAAAGTAATTTTAACTGTTATCTGTATATTATAAAGAGGCCACAAAGAGCTATAGTTAAAAATGTAAGCTTTGGAGTGAGAGTACTTGAATTGTAATCCTAGCTCTGTCACTTATTAGCTGTGTGTTCTTGGGTGAATCACATAACCTCTCTTTGCTCCTCAGTTTTGTCATCTGTAAAATGTAATGATTAAGGAAGATAATAGTGTAAAGTGCATTGGTCAGTGCATGGAACATTTTCAATGCCAATATGAAGTAAAATTAGAATGGAAATTTTAGATTAAATATCTGGGTGTGGTTTCGGCTTCATTTCCTAGACCACTTCGGTATCTGCTTTAATGGAAATTTTTGAGAGGTACCTCTCTAGATGGACTGAACTAGAGGTTTTAGTACAGGTCAACTGTCCAGGAGTCCTCCAACTTCTTGGAGGCCCCACTAGAATTCAAAGTTACTTGAAAAATATCTATGGGGTCAACTGAACTCATTTGCATATCCTTAGTGAGCATTGTGGGTACATATAAGTATGGCAAATTAGCTATTATGTGTGCCTTTTATTCAAGTGTTGTGCATCTGTTAAACATTTAGTAGTGATGATTTGCTAATGGTATATTGGTTATTTTATGCCAGGACTTTGGAATATGGGAACGTGGAGACAAGACCAACCAAGGAATCTCAGAATTGAATGCCAGTTCAGTTGGAATGGCAAAGGTAATTTTCCTTGCTTTGTTTCTCCCATGTATGGGGTAAGGAATTCTGGTACACCTTTGCCATAGATAAAAGCTTAATGGGAATATGGACAATCTCCAAATTAATTGTTCTTTTAAACTACAGGTAAAATTCAGATTCTCCCATAGAACTATGAACATGTAGGTGAAGACTTCTTTCATAAGCTCCAGGTTTATATGTCCAAACTAGTTTTGTACCATATTTCTACTTGCATACCCTACAAGGACATCAGAGAACATATCTTAAACTAAACAAATCATCTCTACCTTTACAAAAACAAACAAAAGAAGGTCTTTGGTTTTTCTGTATACCATTTGACAAAGCCTGATATCATGAAACCATTTCTCTTTTTGTTGTTATTGTTGTTGCTGCTTTAATCTTTATTGTTGAAAGTATTACAAATGTCCCCGTTCTCCCCCCAATGACCACTCCTCCCTATTCCTTCCCTCGTGAGGCCTTCACCACATTATTGTCTATGCCCATGGGTTATGCATATATGCATATAAATTGTTTGGTTAATCTCTTCCTGCCTCCCCCTGCCTTTCCCTATGAGAATCATCAGTCTGTTGCATGCTTCCATGTCTCTGGATCTATTTTATTTGCCATTTTATTTCGTTCACTAGATTTCTCATATAATTGAGATCATGTATTACTTTTCTTTCTCTGACTGGCTTATTTCTCTTAGCATAATAATCTCCATAAGGTTCCTTCCATGTTTTCTTAAAGGGTAAGAGATCCCTCTTTTTTATAGCTGCATAGTATTCCATTGTGTAAATGTACTACAGCTTTTTTATCCACTCATCTACTGATGGGCACTTGGGCTGTTTCCAGATCTTATCTATGGTAAATGACACTGCTATGAACATGGAGATGCACATATTCTTTCTGATTAGTGTTTAAAGTTTCTTAGGATATATTTCTAGAAGTGGGATCACTAGGTCAAATGGCATTTCCATTTTTAATTTTTTGAGAAAAGTCCATACTGTTTTCATTCACACCAGGAGTGAACGAGGGTTCTCTACATCCTCACCAGCACTTCTTGTTTGTGGATATTGATAGTATCCATTCTGAAAGGTGTGAGGTGGTATCTCATTGTCATTTTAATTTGCATCTCTCTAATGATTAACGACATTGAGCATTTTTTCATGCGTCTCTTGACCATTTATATGTCCTCTTTGGAGAAGTGTCTATTCAGGTCCTTTGCCCATTTTTTAATTGGATTGTTTGTCTTCCTTTTGTTGAGTTGTATGAGTACTTTATATATTTTGGAAATTAACCCATTATCAGATGAACCATTGTCGAATATGTTCTTCCATACAGTGGGTTTCCTTTTCATTTTGATGCTGATTTCATTTGCTGCACAGAAGCTTTTCATTTTTATATTTTTTATTTTTTAAAAAATACGTCTTTATTGATTTTAGAGAGAGGAAGGGAGAGGGAGAGAGAGAGATAGAAACATCAATTATTAGAGAGTCATTGATCTGCTGTCTCCCACATACCTCCTACTGGGGATCAAGCCCGAAACCTGAGTTTGTGCCCTGGGAATCGAACCACGGTCTCCTGGATCATAGGTCGGTGCTCAACCACTGAGCCACACCAGACAGGCAGAACTTTTTATTTTGATGTAGTCCCATTTGTTTATTTTTTCCTTTGTTTCTCTTGCCCTAGGGAATGTATCAGTGAAAATTCTGCTACATAAGATGTCTGATATTTTGCTGCCTATGCTTCCTTCTAGGATTTTTATGGTTTCACAACTTACACTTAAGTCTTTTATCCATTTTGAGTTTATTCTGGTCTATGGTGTAACTTGGTAGTCCAGTTTCATTTTTTAATGTACCTGTCCAGTTTTCCCAACATCATTTATTGAAGAGACTGTCTTTACTCAATTCTATGCTCTTGCCTCCTTTGTCAAATATTGATTGAGCATAATGGCTTAGGTCAATTTCTGGGTTCTCTGTTCTGTTCCATGGATCTATATGCCTGTTCTTGTGCCAGTACCAGGCTGTTTGGATCACAGTGGCTTTGTAGTATAACTTGATACCTGGTATTATGATCCCTTCAACTTTGATCATCTTTCTCAAAATTGCTGCAGCTATTTGGGGTCCTTTTTTTTTTTGGTTCCATATAAATTTTTGGAGTATATGTTCTACATCTGTGAAATGTACCATTGGTATTTTAATAGGGATTGCATTGAATTTATAGATTTCTTTGGGTAGTATGGACCTTTTAATGATGTTAATTCTACCAATCCATAAACACAGTATATTCTTCCACTTGTTTGTATCTTCTCTGTCTCTTTTTTCAACATTCTGTAGTTTTCTGAGTACAGTTCTTTTAACTTCTTGGTTAAGTTTACTCCTAAGTATCTTAATTTTTTTTTGTTGCAGTGGTAAATGTTATTGTTATTTTTAGTTTCTCTTTCTGAGAGTTCATTATTGTTGTATAAAAATGCCATTAATTTCCAGGTGTTAATTTTGTATCCTGCTACATTGCTGAATTTATTTATTTATTCATTTATTTTTAAAATATATCTTTATTGATTTCAGAGAGAGGAAGGGAGAGGGAGAGAGAGAGATAGAAACATCGATGATGAGAGTCATCATTGATCAGCTGCCTCCTACATGCCCCCACTGGGGATTGAGCCCACAACCCTGGCATGTGCCCTGACCTGGAATCGAACCACAATCTCCTGGATCTTAGGTCAATGCTCAACTGCTGAGCCATGCCTGGCCAGGCCTGAGTTAATTTATTAAATCTTATAGTTTTTTGGTGGAGTTTTTAGGGTTTTTTATGTATAATATCATGTCATCTGTGAATAATGAAAGTTTTTCTTCCTCTTTTCCTTTTTGGATGCCTTTCGTTTTTTCTTCTCATCTGATCGCTACGGCTAGGGCTTCCAGTACTATATTCAATAAGACTGGTGAAAGCAGACATCTCTATCTTGTTCCTGTTTTTAGGGGAAATGGTTTTAGTTTTTGCCCATTGAGTATGATGTTGGCTGTAGGTTTGTCATATATGGCCTTTTTTATGTTGAGGTATGATCCCTCTATTCCTACTTTGCTGAGAGTTTTTATCAAAAATGGGTGTTGGTTTTTGTGGAATGCTTTTTCTGCATCTATTGATATGATCATGTGATTTTTGTCTTTCAATTTGTTTATGTGATGTATCACATTTATTGTTTTGGGAGTATTGTACCAACCTTGCATCCCTGGAATAAATCCCACTTGGTCATGGTGTGTGATCTTTTTAATATATTGCCAGATCCAATTTGCTAATATTTTGTTGAGGATTTTAGCATCAATGTTCATTAGGGATATTGGCCTGTAATTTTCTTTCTTTGTAGTGTTTTTATCTGGTTTTGGAATTAGGCTAATGCTGGCCTCATTAAAAGAGCTTGGAAGTATTCCTTCCTCTTGGGTATTTGGAATAGTTTGAGGAAGGTAGGCATTCATTCTTCTTTGAATATTTGGTAAAATGGCCCTGTGAAGTTGTCCTGACCAGGGCTTTTGTTTGCTTGGAGTTTTTTGATTACTGCTTTAATTTCACCTGTTATTGGCCTATTCAGATTTCCTGATTATTCATGATTCAACTTTGGAAGATTGTATTTTTCTAGGAATTTGTCCATTTCATCCAGGTTGTCCAGTTTATTGGCATATGGCTGTTCATAGTATTTTCTTACAATCCTTTGTATTTATGTGGTGCCAGTTGTTACTTCATCTCTTTTGTTTTTTTATTTTATTTATTGGGGTCCTCTCTGTTTCTTGATGAGTCTGGGTAGTGGTTCATGAATCTTCTTTATCTTTTCAAAAAACCAGCTTTTGGTTTCCTCAATCTTTTGTATTTTTTATTTATTTATTTTTAGTCTCTATGTCATTTACTTCCACTCTGACCTTTATTATTTCCTCCCTTCTACTTACTCTGGGCTTTTATTGTTGTTCTCTTTCTAATTCTTTTTTTTTTTTTAATCCTCACCTGAGGATATTTTTACCATTGCTTTTTCAGAGAGAGTGGAAGGGAGAGAGAAAGAGAGGAGGAAAGAAACATCAATGTGAGAGAGACACACTGATTTGTTGCTTCCCACACATGCCCCAGACAGGGTCGAGCCTGCATCTAACCCGGGACCCTTTACTCCACAGGTGGACGCTCTAACAACTTAGCCAAACTGGCTAGGGCTCTTTCTAATTCTTTAAGATGTAGTATTAGATAGTTTATTAGAAGTTTTTCTTGTTTTTTGAGGTAAGCCAGTACTGCTATAAACTTCCCTCTTAGGACTGCTTTCATTGTGTCCTGTATATTTTGAGTTGTTGTGTGTTTGTTTTCCTTTGTTTCCAGGGAGTTTTTGATTTCTCCCTTGATCCCTTTGGTAACCCATTCATTGTTTAATAATGTTATTTAGCCTCCATGTGTTTGAAAGTTTTTGAGTGTTTTTACTGTAGTTTATTTCTAATTTCATGGCATTGTGATCCGAGATGCTTGATATGATTCCAATCTCCTTGAGAAGGATGTATATATAGCCTGCAGCTTTGGGGTGAAATTTTCTGTAAATGTCCATTAAATCCATCTGATCTAGTGTGTCATTTAGGGTGACTGTTTCCTTGTTGATTTTTTGTCTGGAAGACATATCCAGTGAAGTCAGTGGGGTGTTAAATCCCTACTATGACTGTATTGCTGTCAATCTCTCCCTTAAAGTCCTTTAGAAGTTTTTTTTATAAATTTATGTGCTCCTATATTGGGTGCATATATGTTTGCCAGGGTTATATCCTATTGTTGGATCAATCCTTTCAGTATTATGCAGTGACCTTTCTTTTTTTCTTCTTCTTCTTTTTTTAATATATCTTTATTGATTTCAGAGAGAGGAAAGGAGAGGGGGAGAGAGAGAGAAACATCAATGATGAGAGGGTCATTGATCAAGCCTGCAATCGGGCATGTGCCCTGACTGGGAATCGAACCTCGAACACCTGGATCCTAGGTCAACGCTCAAC